CAGTAAGTCTGTCTTGGCCTCACTTGACAAAGACTTTAAGTAGTTTCACTGTCCAACTAATGGTTGTTTTAATTTGTAATTCATTTTTTGTACAGGGATGTGCGGCTCATCAACAACAACCAGACCAGCCACATCAACAGGTTGTAATTTTATAATCTGTCAAAAATAACTGTGAAGCTTATATAAAGCTAAATGGTTAAATGCTAAGTCATTGGTCTTAAAAACCTGAAAAGTCATTGGTCTTAAAAACCTAAAAATTCAATAAATGTATGTTAAAAATAAAATGAAAGCAAATATTCTTTACATGGACAGGTATGTTTTTTCCTAAATACATATCAAAGTCAAATCTAAATATGTCAGAAATCCTATTTATATGAAAAAGTCCAGTAAAAGTAACTGATTGTTTCTCTGTATCACCTGAATCATCACTAAACACTTCATTGTATCCTTTACAGGATCTTGGAGTAGCTGTCGATACAACTGTGGCTATACCTTCAGTGACTGTTCCTGCTCCAGCTCCTGTATATACTATGGAAACTGTTGCCATGACTACCACAGTAAGTCTGTCTTGGCCTCACTTGACAGCGACTTTAGTTTCATTGTCCAACTAATGGCTGTTTTAATTGGTAATTCATTTTTGTACAGGGATGTGCGACATATCAACAACGCCAGGGATAACAACAACCAACCCCAACATGCCGAGGGACTCCCGTTCATCAGTTAACCGTTGCACTGGGAGAGTACTACAAAGCTGAAGAGTTTTTTTCAGGCTGGAAAAATCGGGACCAACCATGGATCTTGATTTGGATTTGGAAACTATTATCCAGAGTATTCTGGCTGTTGACTACGTGGGATTCCATGAGATCCTGGAGGAATCACCCGAGCAGCTCCCCCTCTCTGCTGCCCCCCCTCAGTCAGCGGAGAGCGTGAGCAGCGCCAGTCAGCTGCCAACTGACTGTGCAACAGAACAACAATAGCACCAACGCAACCCACATCAGAAGGTTGTATTTTCATTATTTTCTGTTAAATATCAAACCCCAGCCTTTATGAAGTCAAGTGCATCAGCACTCTTTGCCAGTCATATTTTTGTCTCATATCATGAAAGTGAAAACACTAAAAATCACCAAAAGTCACACGGTCGATCAGACGATGATTCTATTTAATAATGATTCATATCCAGTGCTGTGCCGTGAGGTTCATTTCTGTTGCGGCACTAGATGTACAAATATATGAACCCAAAATAGAAGCCTATGTTTCAATTTTAACCTTAATAAAAAAACATCTACTGTAAAGTTCAGAATACAAGTGCACTGGAATCTATGTCGCAGGCTATTTTAAGGGTCTCAAACTGAGAAAACTTAAAGTTTTTAGTTGTTTATTAAATCAGTTTTTGGTCAAAATATCCCCAGGATTAAGCATCACAGCACTTTATTAATCCTGTCAAAACAGCCCTGGTCTGTATTAGTGCCTTAATTGTCAAATTTTCACATTTCTGATGGTACCTGAACCCCCCTCGTTGCGTTTCCTAATGTTAAAAAAGTAACTATTAGATTGTGGTCTGCATTCCAATTTAATACGTCTCTGTGTGTTGCTCTTACTCTGCACGTATTGTCATCAGACTGAACAGATTATTCTGGAAGTAAAAATCCACCCTGTGTGTGCAGAGCTCCTACTGAATGACATCGCTTTACGCTTTCTTTTTGCACCTTCTAGAATACATATCGTGTCGTTACCAGTGTGGCAGGGAGTTTTCATTGTGCTCCTGTTCCAGCTCCTGTGAATACCGTCACAACTGCTGCCACGACTACTACTGTGAGAACAACAGCTAACAAACTCTTAAATTCTGCTGCTGCTTTGTTAAAAAACATGTTTTAATTTAGTTTAAAATAGATGAGAATAATCAACAGTTCAGTGTAAGAAGAGATAAAATATACATGATTATTTCACATGCTGATGGAACAGCATGTTAATGTTTTTTTCCCCCCATTACAGCATATTGTAGGCAATCAACAACCCCGTACTGGTCAACCACTAGCTCCGGTAAGTTCTTCAGTTCATTACTGTAAAAACAAGGGCTATCAATGCATTAATTGCGTAAAAAATTAATTGCGTTTGTGATTGAAATAAATAATGAATGTTTTAAGACATGAATGTTTTAAGACATGAATGAAAATGACGTGCACTGCACTGTATATATCCAATAATTCCACCAGTCAGTCCCCTCAACGCTACGCTAAATACACAGTTGCTCGATTCATATGGCGGCATTTGCACAGACAAACAACTCTTGTCAGTTCTACAAGCCACAACATAAATAATAATAATAAAAATGACTGAAAACTATTTTTAAGCGGTTATTATTATTATTAATGGTGATTAATATATAGTATAATAGTCACATAATTAAGCTACCCATTTGACTAATAGCAATACAATTATTTGATAGTTCTGGCAAAAACATAAAATTGAAAAAATAAAATAAACAAAGTGCAACAAACAAAAACAAGCTAACGCTCACTGCAGCTAACACCTGTCTCCACCTTAAGCAAACACCTGCGGAAAGACACTGTACGGCTCCGGCATCTTCACCAGCCCAAACCATCCCAACTACTACGACAGCAACACTTACTGTAGCACGGTCCTCAGGACATCACACGACCAACAGATCTTCCTGGAGTTCACATTCCTGGAGTGAGTGAAAATCAGCAGGCATCCACCTGAAATCATAAGGATTAATTAGTGCATAAGTGAAATTCACATGGATTGATTACAGAAGCGGAATGTTTTTTTTATATATGCATCACTGTATGAATACACATTAGTGATCGTCATGCTAAATACGTTTGTATTCCTACAAAACAAAACTGAAAGGACAGAAATGGCCTTAAACACTTACATTTACTTTATTGTTTGTGGAAGTGAACCAACTTTGATGGAAGTCTAAGTTTTAAGTCTGTGTGTAAACTTGACCTGTGTTTAACAGAATAGAAAACTGCTGCAGCTGTGACTACATCGAGGTTTACGATGGACCATCTACAAATTCACGATACCTGGGGAAAGTTTGCAACAACAGCCTGTCGACCTTCTCCTCTTCTTCCAACTACATGACAGTGCTTTTCAGGACTGATGGTTCAGTGGTGGGCCGAGGGTTCACAGCACAGTTTTCTAGTTCTGTGTCACCACGGTCAGGTAGAGTGGAATGTCTGGAATATCACAGTTTGGCACTGGACTATAGTTTAAACTAGGGATGTCTGATAATATCGGCTGACCGATGTTAGCATATTATGTAATATCTGTAAGAATCATCATCAGTTTTTCCTCCGATAATGAAAACCCGACAACACAATGCCTGGATTTCGCCAAATAAAGAGTGCCCTAAAAATAGTTTTAGGGATAAACTTCTGTAAGTAAAGTGAAAGTCACTAGATGGCAGCATTGCAGCTTTAAATGTATCTCATACTCATACAGTGGTTTGTAGAGATAAATAAATAAATATTACCAGGCCTATAGTGGAATCGGAAAGTGTTTGGATATTGGCAAAAAGTTAATATCGGACATCCCTAGTTTTAACACCATGAAATGGGATGAACAGGGATGAAGAGATGTATTTTGTGGTTTAGATCATTTAAGTGGTTACTGTGTTGATGGAATCTTTCAGGCCGAGTAAACTGCTCCTCCTATGGCATGGAGATTGTGATTGAGAGATCCTACCTCAACTCCATTGGCTATAATGCCTCCAGTCTGTACCTGGACGACAACACCTGCAGACCCCACATTACCAGTCGCCAAGTGATCTTCCGCTACTCCCTCAACTCTTGTGGAAACGTTCGCAAGGTACATTTTTACACTGCTATATTTATGCGGCATAACTGACTGACCAAATGAGGTTGTCATGGATATACAACTTCATTTATCCCTCTAGAGTTCCCTTTGGGAAATTAAGTTTTGTCTTCCTCTCCACTCTCTTCAAGTTTCACAACGGTAAAGCTATGTACTCCAACAATGTCCGTGCCTACAACTCCTCCATCTCGGGAGAGGTCACACGCCTGTCCCACTTCAAGCTGAACGTGGCCTGTCTGATGGAGCAGGAGTCGTTGTCTCAGATCATGTATGTCGTGAAGAGCGACTACAACAGCAGCCTGATCGGCTCCGGCAGGTTCAACACCACCATGCGTTTCTACGACTCCAACAACTTCTACTACCCGGTGAGTTTGGCTGAATCAGTGCAGTTTAAACACAGCGACGCAGTACGATGCTAATGCTTCGCTTCTCCATCACCAGGTGACTGAGTTTCCATACATGGTGTCTCTTAACCAATACTTAAATACTGAAGTCAGACTGGATAGGGCCGAGTCAGACTTTGTTCTCTTCCTCGACACCTGTGTGGCCTCTCCATCACCAGATGATTTCAGTTACAGACCTTACTACCTGGTCCGCAATGGGTAAGATTGGTGTGTGTGTGTGAGCATGTACATGTTTACAAGTGTTGGGTGTGCACATACTATAAGTAAATGTGGTTTTACTGTATAACTTGGATCTACAAATGGTGGCTCCAGGGTTTGCATTGTCTCCCTGTGGTATGACTATGGCTTTTTTTTAGCAAATATTTAAAATAAGTGTACATATTACACCATATTATTCAGCACAGAATTCTAGAAACTGTAGTTGTGATACCTTTTAGATGCTTTGGTGCTGCGTTTCTCCAACCAGGTGGACTACAGCGCCTGCCTGCAAAGAAAAGAAAAAATATTTTAAAAATAAGTCGGTTTAATTTGACTTTTCGTTTGATTGAGTTTGAGTGGAAATAACTGACCCAATAATTTACCACAGATTATTCGAGTATAGAGTGTTTCTAAACTGAGGAGCATCAATGACCTCCATCTGCTTTATGTACTAATGCATCAGTGTTGACAATGACCTTCATGTTACCTTTAGGTGTAATATGGACAGCACCTTTCAGGTCTGGAGCACCAGCAGTTACTATGTACGATTCAGATTTAAGGCCTTCCAGTTCTTGCGGGCCTCAGAATCCGTGTACCTCCAGTGCAAGGTGGTGATTTGCTACACCAACGACAGCAACTCCCGCTGCAGAAAGGGCTGCATGAGACGTAAGAAGAGGAGTCTGAGTCCAGGCGACAAAAGCCACACTGTGGTCCTGGGTCCAATCAAGCTCAAAGGTGAGAAGCAGAGTTAGTTGGGTTTTTTTCAGATTCGATTAGGTAAACAGTTGGTTGTAATTTTACAATCTTAAGAACATATCACAATTACAATCAATTTTTACTATTTCTTACCAGAAACCGAGGAAAAGGAGGAAAAGGAGGTAAAGGATCAACCACAGGAAACAGTTTGATCCACTTTGTTCATCACTGGAATCAGTGAATTCAACTCTCACAATCATCATCTAATCATCATAACCTGACATGATCACCTGATTACAATCTCTTTAACTAATTAAAAGCATCTTTAAAAGACAATCCGTTTTGGAGAACTTCTTTCCATGCCACCTTGGTAATGCAGAACAAATGTGTGGATTTTTTTTTCTAACAGAAATAACATTTAAAAAGCATTTCAGAAATACAGAATAACAATCTTGTAAGTTAATTCAACATAGTATTCAACAGTGTTTGTTTTTTTTTTTTGGTTAATTCAACATAGTGTTCAACAGTGTTTGTTTTTTTTTACATCATTTCAAATGTTTAATACAAACAATAATATTTTTACAGATCTTAATGAGCAGATTTTACAGTAATATATAAATAATTATAGAATAGTTAAATTTGAGGGAAAACAAACAAACAAACAAGACAGCTCTGATAAAAAACACTTTACTTATAAATTAGTTGCTCGATGTCACATTAAGATAAATGACTTCCACATTCAGCGTTAACCTACTAACCTACGAACAACACAGTGAGAGAACACACAGCGGTCGTAACCACATAACTCATTACTGGTGACCATGGTAACAGAGTGGTGGTCCTGAAAACAGCAGGTACCGTCTGGTGCTCATCAACAGACAAAACAGTACCAGAGAAAAAGAACAATCTCGCTAAAGTAGCAGCGTTACTGCAACACCATTTTGCTTTTTTTTGTGGCGTTCTTGACACTGAACATCGATCCAAGCACTTGATACAATACTCAAATATTGGGAAAAGTCCTGGGGTCCGATGATTAATGGAGATTGAAATGTGGAGACCCCAGCACCGTGTGGCAAAGGCTGAAAATATGAGACTCTAGAGGCCTTGGTTACAAAGATACTGGTAATAAAGTGACTTTGTACGCTGTCAAATGATGGAACCGTAATGAAAAAAGATTCATACAAAAAAAACCAAAAAAACTCTTAGGCAACAACTAACCCTTCTGATCATAAATCACAGACACAAAATTTGGCAAAGTCTTTGTTTTAGATGCCACTTACAGTTGGCACTGATTCTGAGGATTTTTTTAGCAGCAGTCTGTCATGAAGCTTGGCCACAACTGTGAAACTCTTTAATAGCCAAACTTTTTTTCCCTAAAGTTCTTGGTTTATATATTACACTAAGAAGAGAACTTTGTAATAATGAAATAACAGTCCTCTTTACCTGGGGGAACAGTACTGTGCTAAAGTCTCAGACCTGTGTGAGGAAAAAAAACTGTACAGTGAATGTGTTGGGTTTTTTTTTTTAAACCCAACTGTGATTTCAATACTGCGTTTCAAATAAAAGGAAAAGGAAGAAGGGCTGGAGATAGTTCAGTTAGTTCTTCACATTTTACAAAATGCAGCCAGTACTCTGTTCCAGAGATCAAGTGTATGTATAGAGCAGACAGCAGACATCTGCATGTTGAGAATGGAAAAGTCAAGCCATATATTTTCCTAATAAAGAATTATTAACCACAATTAATCATGTTCAAATGAAAATGTATACATATATATGGATGTGTATATGTGCATATATATATATTCATATATATATATACATGCATACATACATATATGTACACATATATGTATGTGTAAGTGTGTGGATACATATATGTATGTGTATATATTTATATACACCTATATAAATATATAGGCACATATATGTAAGAACACATATAGCAGCACTGTGGCTCATGTGTGCTACGGCTTTGCTTTTCATAAAATACTGTAGCTGTTTTAGGACAACGAATCAACACAAAATATTAATGTTATTAAAATGTCCCTTCTGTTCATACACTTCACATTTGATTTTTTTTTAATTTATTAACCTTTTGTGTGAATTCATTCTTCACAGTTTTTTCTTTACACCGGCCTGAAACTTTTGCAGTGGTCCTGCATAAGAAGAGACTTTGATAGGCACTACAAACAAATACGTATAGTGTTAACGCACCTAAGGAATTTAAATGTTCTTAACAAAGGTGAGTAACAATCAAACCGGAGCGACAGTTTGACTCCTGCCTGAAGGAATATTCAGTTGGAGGCAATGGAGGTTTGACAACTTGTTTGGATGACAGTCATATTCACCCTATTGTGTTTCTGGTTTTTACTAAAGTCAAAGTCTCCACTCATTACATTCAAGTAAGGATTTGGTTTGTCTGAATTTACACACAAGGCTACTGGGCCCACAATTGTGTTAGTGTGTGGAGCAGAGACACAGATCTGGAGGAGTGTGATGGGAACAGAACGTTGCAAAATATTTTCGAGTGTGTGAGAAAGTCTTCCAGCCTCATATAAAACCTGATGAGACCGGTCTGTCAGTCAGCACCTTAACACTAAGTTTGTAAAGACTGTGAAAGTTGAGTTTGAGACTGCTGCTCTCACTGCTATTGCAAAACAAATCTAGTGTTTTCTAGTTTGAGGCAAGTTTCTTATTTTCTGCTGACAAAAAAAACCTTTATTGAAAAAACAAGAAGTTTTGTAGCTTTATAGTTTGCACTGACTTTATTGAAAAAACAAGTTTTGTAGCTTTATAGTTTGCACTGAATTGTATTCAGAACTGAAATGCATTTTTTAAACATGGTATTATACAAACTACAGCTTATTATTCAAGCTGTAGTTTTATTTGGGGTGAATATGGCTGTCAACATGACCACTAGCAAATCGTCAACCTTTTCTTTTTTAAATACGCTCTAAAGGGAAAGGTGTTCACAACGGAACTGAATGCTGACGTTTTCCAAGTTGGTAAAACTGTCAAGGCTAGGCTACATCAAGGCCATGAAGACAAATATAATAAAGGTTATTATGGGATCAACTCTACAAAAACAAAGCTGTCCATACACCGTCTTCTCTCTTCACACCATCACTTGTGCTGCCCCCTGGCAAAGTGGCAGGCAAAGTCATACCTGCTTTTACACTTGTGGCCACAGATGTTGCACTGGAATGGATTCTCGTAGCCATGGCAGCCCATGTGGATGGTGTACAGAATGTTGTCTGGGAAGAAGATGTCACAATGCTGGCAGTGATGCAGAGTGTGCAGATCCTGTGGTGGAGCAGACAGGCCTTGGGCTGGTGTACTGGGGCGACTGTTGGAGACGCTTGGTGTGCTCGTGCGCCCACTGTGTTCGCTACAGGGTCCTCCTCCAGGGCTGCAGTTGCTGTGGGGAGGCGCCCGTGGCTCTGGGGTGACTGGAGAGGAGGAGGAGGCATGAGTCATGCTGGCAGTGACTGCTACAGGAGCCGTGGCTGGGTGAGGCTGCTGGATGAGAAAGGGCTTTTCATCCACCACTGATTCTCCTCCTGGGGACATCGGAGGCTGTGTCTGGGCCTGGGACTCTGACGGGAGGCTGGCCAACTGGCCTGCCAGTGTGGACAGCTGGTTCAAGGGGTTTTCCATCACCACGTCATGATGATGGTGATTTTGATTGGTGGACAGAGGATCCTCGACAGCCCCAGTCTGATTATCATAGCCCTCCTGGCGCAGGTGTGGTAGCTCATGTGAGAAGTCATTTACGTTGTCAGGCTTGTGCACCACCATGGAAGGTGGACTGAAGTTGATGAGAAGGCGGCGGCCGTATCCCAACGAGCTGGCCTTCTTCTGTAAAACACTCAGCATCTTCTTGTGGGAAAGTGAGCGAGCGCCCTTCATGGGCAACAGTTTGTGGCGTCTGCGGCGATGGTGTGACAAGTTGCTGCGATCACTGCAGCGGAAGGAGCACAGCTCACATTTGTAAGGCTTCTCACCTGTGTGTGATCGCATGTGTGCCTCCAGGTGGCGTTCATAGGCTGAGGCAAATGGGCAGAGGTGGCACCTGTGTGGCTTCTCTCCTGTGTTAATAAAGGAAAACCAAAGTGATGCATTTTTTGACAAACAAATGGGAAGGAAATATCAACTCTCTCTGCTTACCTGTGTGAATTCTGATGTGCTCGATAAGTCGCGCTGTGCCTCTGGTGGCATAGTTGCAGTAGCGACACTTTAGCTTGCCGTCATAGGTCCTCTCAAAACCATCCACCAGGATCCCTGAGCTGTCGTCCAGTGACATGTCCACTGAGGGGTGATCCAGTCCATTCTGACTGCAGTCTGAGAACAAACAGCAATAAAAGCAAAACTGAGATACTATAAAAAAAATCTTACAATTATGTTTATTCTAGAGTGAGTATTCGTATGATACATTGTCTTTTATGTGTCATCACAAATCTGTTTAGAATAAATGCTAAAATTACAAGTTAAGTGCAAGAAAATGGACCAAGAAAAATGTATTTGACATTAAAATAATTTTTCATGTAATTTACTGTATGTCACTTTTACCTGCTGGCAACTCATCTGCCTCTTTGACACCACTGACAGAACCTGAAATCATGTTTACATGCTGAGTCTGCTGGCTCAGATACTCCTGGAAGTCCTTCACAAAGTCCAGCGTGTCCGGCTTTTCCTCGCCCATTGAATAAACGTGATGGCCAACCCTGGAAGGAGGAAATCATCAAATTCTGCTTTAAAAAAAAAAAAAGGCGCAGGAAAGTTCCTCAAAAGAGCTCAATATCAATGCGAAACAGAATACTGGTCAAGTAGAAAACAACATTTAAAGAATTGTTTACTGAAGTTCGTCAACAACCTTAAAAAGAACTCACCGAAAAACAATTAAAACAATACAGGCAATAAAAGTAGTATAGGTTTACGATTTAAGACATAACATCACTGCCATGAAGTAAAAAGGTTTCACGCATTGCACTTAAACAACAGCCTGTTTGTTTGTTAAGTAGTCGGTAAAACGCAAGACTCACATTGTACGCAAGACACCAAACCTAAAAGTCATAGTAAACATTAGATTTCAAAGTTGTACACTTACCTGTTAGCAGATAATCTAAGAAAATAACGACGCCCTCGCGCAATGACTGCCTAATACTATAAGATTCACTATTCAATAAGTAGAAATCAGTGGCTTCTCTTCGTCGTCATGTTGTGACCAAAGCTGAGTCGCTGCGTTAGCCGCGCGGCTAAAGTTAGCTTACGTAGGAAAAAACATCTTCGTCAGCAGCAGCAGGTCTGTCTGGCTCAAGGACTCGCTTTCCCATCGTTTTTCACGTTGAATAAAACATAAAAAACAACATTTTAGGACCACTGTCCGTGTATGGCTAAGTTCCCTTCGACAAACTGGCAACAAGTGGTAGAGAGAGGAAATACACGAAATCAAAACAATAAAGAACAACGAGGGTTCAGAGTTCACTGTGCACCGGCCAAAATCGTCCGACCAACCATCTCTCCGCTAACAAGTGTTCTCACAACAATGGGTTTCCTTTTCCCCAAAACGAAATAATAATTAAAAAAAACAACATAAAAATCACTCCAGGTTATTAAATTGCTGATTATTTATAGCTGTGAAAGCTTAACAAGTGATAGTATTTTTTTAAAACGTAATGATAAAATAAAATTCGGATTTATTACTGAGGATTGTGACGTAAGGAAATTACCGATATTATAGAATTTAAAGATGAGCGTCAGTAATAAACCTTAAAGCTAAACAGAAATGTCCAAATATTTATTGAACACGTTCACTTTTAGAATTCTCATTTTGAAATATTTTTGGTCTGAAGTAATGCGTGACAATTTTAACATTTAGATAAAAAAAGATTTAAATGGATTGATTTCAAAGCAATTATTTACTTATACGGCAACAATACTTTAAGGTATTGTTGACTTTTCTAATATGGTGGCTTTTGCGTGGAACTTTTAATTATCATCTTTCCCAAACAAGGAGAACAGCTAAATAAACACAACAACACCCATCTCCTCTCACCAGAAATGGCTGACATCTGATAGCCGGCTCCGTTCATGTACCTGACATGACGCACTTTCAGATGTACAGCTTTCAATTATGTGCAAGTGGCAAATGAGCCACAACAGTTACATTACTTTCAAAAGGTATTGACTCATTCATGTTTCATCGCGATCAATAATTTACCAGTGAGGGCCTGGACCAAGATCACATTGCACCATTTGTGTCAAAGTTGTAGGAAAACCACCGAGGAGAAGATGATAAACGGCTGAGTTGAGTGAGGCTGCTGGATCCTTTTACCCTATTACAACTGCGACTGTCAGAGCAATGGTTGTACAGTGGTAATGTAAACCTGCCAACAGGGAAAATCTTCACTTCGTAACACGAGTCACCTGTTTTTGTGTACTTCAATACTGCACTTTCAACACTACACTGTACAGCTGTGTTTTGTATGTTTTTTTGTGAGCAGACTATGAAATAAATAATATTTTAAAATCGTCTGTTATTAAGTGAGCACGGTTCGCTATCTGGACACTAGATGGCGCACGTGTCTTAGTAGTAATTTTTTCCTATTTGTGTACCTGCGTGTTGCACAAGTTCTAAACCTTGTATTTAAAGCTTCGGGTCGTGAAGGTAACACGAGCTTTACTGATCACTGTTCTCCGTTTACACGTGGAAATGTCAGTGTTTACAGTCATCCCTCCAGAGCCCGTGTCGTCCCTCACACTCCAGTGGTGGAAACGTGACAGTCAAACTCATCAGTTGAACCGTGACCACAGCAGCAGCCAATAACATCACCTCTTAACAGCCTGTCCGCACTAATGTTATTTTATTGCAATTTAATTATGCTCAGGTTTCCAGTGGGGCCCGGGTCTTTTTGAATAATTTACACACAGTCACGATGATTTGTCAGCCCCAGAAGACAAAGTGCTCACTTCTCCGTGCTCTCATTTGTTTCAGCGGTTTTGTTTTTTAATCCTATAAATCATAGAGAGAACAATCTCGCGATGCCTGTCCCGCAGTTAAACCCGAGGCTCCACTTGGATTAAAAGACTGGATTTAGTAAGCCTTTGAATTACTTAAGGGGAATAATTGGTCATACTTAATTTTGCATTAATGACGTGTCCACTGCATCATATATTAAGCTGTTCTGTTAAAGGGCGTTGAGTGTGTATTAATGAGATGGAGAGCAGGTAATGATCAAATAGTGGGGCCTGGCATTTTCATTTAATAACACCGTGGTCACACCACTAAAAATAGCTTTATTATGTACCTGAGGGGCGAGTTTATGGGGTCCCCCCCAACCTCCACCCCCCGAGCCTCATAATACTGTAGAGGAAAAAAACGTTTCTGGTGTTCACCTGTAAGTAAGTAACCTGTGCTCACCTGAAACTTTCACGTGTTCATCAGGAAACTTTTATTTATTTTCCCACGTGCCTTTGGGGGCTCCGTAGTTCCAGAGTTTATTTCCTTGACAAAACCCAGAGTCTCTGCCATTTAAATTCCTTTTTTTCACACAAATCTTTTCTGTATTTACATATCGCTCTTCTAGTCCTGAAGTCCGCTCAACATACTTCACACTACAGGTCATGCTGACCACATGTGGGAGGCATATAACCCACTAAGTCTGGAATTAAACCCACAACCCTCCAGGTGTAATACTGATCTACAGCCTCCCCACAATACAACTGTATTTACGGTCATCTTGTTTCCTTAAATCTATTATTTTTAATGGTTCAGCAAATTTGATTAATATAATTAAAGTTTCTACCAAATTAAGCAGCAGTTAATCAGGAAGTCCTGTTTAAACTTCAGCAGCACATAGTGTGTGGTTTAAGTTCATTTTTACGTTTTTTCTACTGGCAAAATGTAATATATTGACTTCCTTATACTTCATCGAGTATCTCATCATTCAGTAAAAAGTACTAATGATTTGTCAGAGTATGTCGTCTGTACGTACTATTATTATATTTAACATATAAAAAAACAAAAACAAACAAACGCTGAAAATCTGAAATGTGACCGCTAGATGGTGCTAATTACTGCACCGTTTATATGTTAAGAGTCAATTTTATTTCTCGACTCCAGCTGCGTCTTTGTGTCAGCGAAATAAGCAACGTCTTAATGAAGAATAAGAAACAAATTTTTTTTTTCAGGTAATTATTTTGTTATGAGTTTTAATTGTTTTTTTAGTTCCAGGAAGTGTCCGTGTTTGAGGGGACTGTTGTCAGTACCACAAACAAAGAAAAATTACCTAACAATAAATTGTTGAATATGTTGAATAACATTTATTAACTAAAAAAAATAATCAGGAGAATTCTGTTTGGAGTTGGAAAAGAAGCTAGGATTCAGAGAAGTGTAATTAAAATGAAATTATTGAGTAAGATGATACACAGTGCCACGTGTGGAGTGATGTGGACAACACCTGCCTTAGACAAGGTTGCAGGATTATCCACTTGCTCTGATTCACTTTTAAAAGGTCTGATTCAAATGAGTTCCGTCCTCCTCTTAAGCGCTTGATTCACGGGTTGTTTGTATTTTTAATGCCAACTAAGACACTTGGTTTGCCCCTCCTTCAACTGGAGAAATTGAATTTAAATGTAAAGTTCTTAAGCAGCTTCTTCAGTCTTGGTGTCATTTGTTGAGCCGGTGTTTCAGACTCTCCTCCTGGAACAGCTTTTCAGTGCAGGACAAGTGCAGCCATAGTAACGGCAGACAGGAGGTGAAGGGGGACCTGGAGGAGGTTTATTCTCATTCTGCTGAGACTGTTTCTTTCTTGAGGTCTCCCGTTCCACGTGGAGCATTTGAAAAAGGTGGGTGGGTGGGGGGGGAGGATAAAGGAGGTGTATATTAAGCTTTTCTTTCCTCTCACCACTTAATTTCCTCGCAGGCGCGCCCTGCTCTGTTGTAATGAATGTAATTGCCGCCTTTGATGAGAATGCTATTATCTGGATCACACTTTACATGGGCAAACAAGACTGCCCCCCCCCTCTAGCCCTACCTCCTATTTAACTCCACATCGAGACCCCCTCTCCCAATTACGCAGGGAACAAGTGGCTTTTCATAAAGCCAGCGTGTCGCTCTTGATTGTTGAGGCTACAGACAGGCTACACGAGGACAAAGGACAGATTAGATGTGATATAGGCTCAGCAAGAAAAAAAAACCCATTTCCTTGATTAATTTCCTGCGTGCCCACCCTCTGTCTCTGGTGAATTCTATCTCTTCTTTTAAGACAAACTTTCCTCTTTTGATTGGTGTGGCAGCTCAATGAACAGACGGCCATTTTATTGACCCAAGTTTGACCACAGACGTCTGGACTTCCAGAGAGATTAGGGTGAAAAGAGAAATGATCCGTGGTATTGTGGGAGGATTGGATTATTTTTTCCTATGAAAAGATCAAAATCTTTGCAGCTCTCCACAGTATTTCAGCCCAACTGGGGTTTTTGATGCTGGCTGCTCTGTTTGGACACACACACACACACACATACACACACACACACACACTCAGGTTGTCATTTTCACACACCTACGCGCAGACACACTGAAGCAAGCTAAACAGCTATTTGATAATAGTGGCAGACAGATATGATGGTAGTTTATGAGGCGATGCACAATAAAGCTGCTGTCACCTTATAGGAAGTCTAAGTGTTCTTCTGATTGCCTTTTTACCGCATTAAAGCACGGCTCGACGCATTTACACACTCAGATACACACACACACACACACAGCTCAGGTTGGCTATGACAAAGCAACGTGATTCTGTCCAATATTTCCAGCAGGCCTGAAATATCGGGAACAATCACACGGACTGTCACTGGTGACAGATTATACTATTACTCCTCAAAGATTGTCATCCTTGAAATGTATTCACAGACATCCCTCCTGTGTTCCTTTAAGCAAGTACTTCCCCCTGTGATAAAGTGGTCATCAATTCATCTATCTGTTATTCTTAAAGAGTGTTTGTGAAGAATCGGCTGCATTGGTCACTTTTATTCCCTTGCATATAAAAATATAAAAATCCCACACCAGACCACGGTCGCTGCCGGACCTGATGGATGCCAGGAGCCCGGCCGCCCGACTCCTAAAAGTTTACACCATCAGAACCTGCTCCCTGTTCGGACCCAGTCTCGGCAGGAAAAGAATTGGCCAATATTTTTGACAGAAGTGGCATTTTAGCAGTATTTATTCGATGGTCCCACTACCAAAACCATGGGTCACAAATAAAGAAGATGGTATAATAGCTTTTGACTGGCCGGCCGGCTCCCAACTTGAAATGAAGTGTCCAATCGTGACTTATTGTGGTCAAACGCCATTTGTACAGACTGAAAAGTGGGGACATTTTTCTAACCTGTCACTCTGCGGCTGTAGCTCACTGTCCTGAATGATGCCTCTGAACGCACAGTTGCCCTAATATGAGCATTTCACTCGCTCTGCGAAAAGGCTGGTAATGGATTAGCCTGTCAATAGGAAGATAATATAGTGCA